CCAGACATGTGTTGTCAAGAATTAGCCATAGAACTAGCTTGGTACCTATTGCAGCTTGTTCTCATGTCTGAAAATACTGGCTTTTTTTTGTCACAGAGTAATTTCTGAAAAGATACGTGTTCTGATTTTGTTTCAGCTCATTGCACAGTAGGAATATTCAGTGTTTTCAGTTACAGGCTCGGTATTTTGATAGGGTTGCATGTTTTCAGCTGGAAATTGATTTTTTTTTTGCTTTTAAAATTAAATTTAAAGCTTAATCAGAATTGAAAGACCACATAAACCTCTACAAGTCCTCCATCAGTTATGCTGACTGGAAAACAACAGCAACAAATAACCATATGGTTATGTCTTGGCTATGCTATGCATATAATGAGAGCAAGTCTTACTCCATTTTGAAACTCTTAATAGGTAGCGGATATCTGGTAGCAGATATTTTTGCTTGAATTTTCTTTATTGCTAATTTTCTGGTAAGAGGTAGTTATTTTTAAGGGTCTAAGTAATTCTTACCAAGTGGACTGATCTCTGGTACTGTATAGTGCCAAAGACATCAGGTTAAGAAGAGTTTTTGAATAGGGAAGAACTGCTCTATAGCATCAAGCAAGACCAACCTCCTGTTGTTAAGGCAGTGCTCATGGATATCACATGATACCTTTTTTAAGTAATTGCAGCAATAAAACCCTGAGGGGAGAGCTTCCTCTGTCATCTGAAAAATATTTTGTTAGCTCTGAGACTCTTAACTGCAAAGCACAGTGCTGCTTTGGAGCATGTAAAGCTGCTGACTCTGGAAGGATAGGTATTCCTCAGAGCCTAATTTCCTTGTTCACTAATACGCAGGACCAGTTTATTCAAAAAGTTTTGGGCTGCAGGCATATTTTTATTTTTCATTCTGGCTAGAATATCCTTAGGATTCCAAATAGTTCAAACTAAATCAGTCAGTTTTTTCAGCGCTTTCTGATGATTCTGTGTTCTCCTGAGGAAGGGGTACTGCTGGGATACATTGCTTCCCGCTGTCTTCAGAAGGCTTGAAATACATCAAGTTCTGAAAGAGGACCTTGTCATGCCTAGGAGTCACCATTGCTCACTTCCATTCTGTTGTGGTTATTGGGAATTACTGGTTATCTTAAGAGATGACTTGTGTCAGTGCTGAGCTGCACTGACACAGGTGTGTAAACTTTGCAGGCAGTAAAGAACTCTCTCTGCACCTAGCTGCTTCTCCCAGTGTCTGCTGAAAACTCCAGCCATATGGATACTGCTCTGGTGAAGTAAATCCATCACTGTTACTGATCTAGATTTTTCTTTCTGAGAAAAAAATTTTTATGAAAGAATACTCTCCTTGATATTCATACCCTCCAAAGGCAGGCATTGTTTCAGCTTCCTTTCTCAGGCAGAGGTATTCAAGATGGGGAGAGTTCCCCATGGGAATGAGAAGGAACGAGTGTATCATGACAGGTCTCATCTTGCTTTCTGAAGCAATGCTAATGTGTGTATGAGTAAAGTCCCCCTATTTTAAAAAAGGAAAGGAAAAAGAGTGATGTAATTTGGAGAGGGGGGGCAGACAGTGGGGATAACTGAACAGATGACTAGAGAAATCAGATTTCAAGATGGGGAGCATAAAATCAACTGTAGCTATGAGGAGGCTGGCTCTTCTCAGCAGACTTGTAGAAAATGTTTCCATAGATTCATTAGTATGTCAATAATAATTTGCTTTGAAAGAACAGCTTCCTCGGTACAAATGCTCGAATGTTAATTTGTGTACTAGTTATGGCTGTGCGAGAGTTAATTTTCTTCATAACAGCTCCCGTGGTGCTGTGTTTTCTGTATTTGTGGTGAAAATAGTGTTGATAACACGGGGATGTTTTCATTATTGCTGAGCAGTGCTTACACGGAGTCAAGGCCTTTTCTGCTGCTCGCCCCACCCCAGCGAGGAGGCTGGGAGTGTGCAAGGAGTTGGGAGGGGACACAGCTGGGACAGCTGACCCCGACTGACCCTAGGGGTATCCCTCACCATATGACATCATGCTCAGCATATAAAGCTGGGGGAAGAAGGAGGAAGGGAGGGATGTTCAGAGTGATGGTGTTTGTCTTCCCAAGTCAACTTAGCTCATGGTGGAGCCCTGCTTTCCTGGGGATGACTGAACACCTGCCTGCAAATGGGAGTTGGTGAATGAATTCCTTGGTTTGCTTGTGTGTATGACTTTTGCTTTACCTGTTAAACTGTCTTTATCTCAACCCATGAGTGGTCTCCAATCTATCTTTCTGATTCTTTCACCCATTCCATGTGGGGGCAGTGAGTGAACAGCTGTAGGGGAACTTGCTGCCTATCAGCGTTAAACCACGGCATTTAGTAACGGCTCTACTGGAGTTTGGTAAAATGCTGTAGTGTTAGTAACAGCACTTGGGGAAAGGATCCAGGATAAACCACTTGGATAACTTGCTTTAGAGTCAGAGATCTGCAAAGAGCAATTTACTTTTTCTTATCGCACTGCTTATTTCTGTCTGATTTCTCTAGTTGAGGGCAATTGTGGATTTTTGTCTTTCTAGCTGTAGAGTAACCTGGCAAGGGAACCTTATGAAAAGACAGAGTCACTTGTTTGTGTCTGTCTTTCTAGGAACAGTAGTCTTAACCCATAACAAAGCATTCTAACCCATAGTTAGACATTTACATGACAGATGAAGCATAGTTGCTGTCATGGTTTGAGATAGCCCCAAAATCCAATTCCCTAGCTCCATTTCCCCTCCCACATCTCAACCTAATGTGAGATGGGTTTTTCCAGACAAAACACACCAGACTCAAAGTGGGGGAAAGGGAATATATTACAATGACTGTACAAATAAATACCATATCACATTATACACACGATCACAACTATCTCTACCATGACATATAGTATTTACAATGGATCAGATCTCTTCTCCCCTCCAAATAAAAGTCCAGGAGGGAAAGAAGGACAGATCCCTTCCAGTCCTTAAGCAGCAGCATCTTCTAAGGCAGCAGGTTCTCCTCATCTCATGCATGCAGCAGCTGTGGCTGGCTTTCTGCCAGCACTCATGAGGGAGGTATCCAAGCTCCCTCGGCCCCTTGACGCAGGCAAAGGGGTCTTCCGTGGGCTTCGTAACCCCAGACAAGGTCGTTTCACCACGGTCATATCACGAAGACATGGGGGGGGTCTTCGTGACGGTCTGGTATCTCCAGGAGACTCAGGCTCTTTGCAGGGCCTCTGTGCCCTGCCTTCAGGCTGCCACCGTGGCAGCAGTGCGAGGGGGGAGCCAAGGTCGACTCCCCCCGCATTCCATCTGGCCGTCCCGGTCCAGCTCCGGGACGTCTCTTGAGCTTCTTAGCTCCTCTCTCTCTCTCTGGTGCTGCATGTCCAAAACTGCTCTCCAAAATAGGAGTCCATCTATTCCTCCTTTCTCGGAGGTCTCAAAGGAGTTTGGGGGGATCTGGTATCAGTCTTACCCCCAGAACTCTGTCTCTCAGCTGTTGACTCTCTTTTTCCCGGCTCTCCTTCCAGGAGTTCTTTCTGCGGTGCTGCATGTTTCTGTTGCTTCTCCAGTTCAGTTCTTATCTGTCCTGGCTCTCTGCCACCGTTTCTCTGGTCAGTGTCGGCTGCTGCTCTGTGCCCATGGAGAAAACATCTCCCGGCATAACTACAGGCACCTAGCCCAGCTTTATGCTGTTCCAGGTCCCTGCAGCCCCTGCTGGGGGCTGGGGGCCAAAGCCCCCCTGAGGGGCTCCGAGCCCCTTCCTCGTGGCTCTACAACATGGCCACCTCTCCAACCAACAAACTACAACTCTGTCTCTTCCGGTGCTTGTTGGTATGTTGACATTTTTGCAGGAGCGCCCATTGGGCAAAACTTCCAGGGGTTTCCACCCCTTGGGGTCTACCACTTTTCTTAGCCTCTGGGGGAAAACAAAGTCCAAACCACTACAGTTGCCAAGGCATATGTGGAGGTACAGTTTGTCTATCAAAGACTTGATGTTCAAGGATGAAGGTGATTTTTTTTAAGTTGTGAAGTAATTTATTCATGAGCTGTGTGATGATAATGTGTTTCAGCTAAGCTGCAGTAGGAACTGTTCTTACAACAATATAAGTCGTTTTCTCTTGGCAGAAGTATTTATTATGAATCTGCACCAAGTTGCTTGTATAGTGTCCAAAAAATGTATATTAAATTTAGAGTTGGAGTTTAGATAAGATGTTTTTCTCCAAATCTCTCTTTTCTCACCCCCCCATCCCACAATATCTTCTTGATCATGTAGAATTCATGAAACTAGGGATTTTTTTGCAATAGATAAAAACTTTCTTAGTATTACTTTATATTTTAGTATAACATGTCTTCTAAAGTGATTGAAATATACACGTACCCGTAAGAAGATGTTTTTGTTGATGGGTGGATTATTTGCATCTATTTCTGTAATCAAATGATGCTTGTATTTGAGTAACTAGTAGCAGATTGTCAGTGTCGTCAGAAAGAGGCCCATAAGAAGAAGAGGCATATAAGAATACTGCTAATTCTGTAGAAATAATTGGGTTACCATGTGTTTCTGCTGCTGTCTACTTCTAATTTTTCTATATAATTAAATAGTTGTAGCTTACTGATTTTAATAAGTAATTCAATTGCAGTGCCTCTGTGCCAGAAGAGACCTGCATTTTGAGCAGCCTTATAACACTTGTATAGGAAGGTACTTGTTTTAAAAATTAATTTGTGTTTAGTTTGTAAATCTACTGTATTAATTTATTGCCAAAATGTAGTCAAATAGAAGACTTCAAATGTAACCTTGCTAGTGAACTCTGGGGCTTTAAATTGGCTTTTCTGAGTTGGGTTTAGAATTTATATATATTATTTTCAGTTGTGCCTGTGAGAGGTAGGGACTAGTGAAGACCATTGCATGGAATATGAGGGAAAATATATATCAATTAATTGTTGGGGGGTTTTAAGTCTTAAAATATCTTTAAAACACTGCATTTTTTCATGTTTAAGAAAGTTTTCTTACCCTACAGTGTTCTTGGCAAAATTACTGAAACGACTCTATGGTGAAACTTCATCATCTTCTCCTGTGCATACTTCAAATAGAGAAGAGGAGGTGGTTCTTGGAAATCTGGGATCAAAATCCAAAGAAAAGAATTTGGGTAATGTTCAGACTTCATCAGCAGATGCTAGCACATCAACTGATACACCCTGCAAATCATTTCAAGGTGAGACTATCCTTTTTCTGATTATATGCTTTTAAATATAACTGCTTTATTTCAGAACAGTATAGTATGTACTTTTTTCATCTATTGATACCAACAGATGAATCTGAATACCAGTGCTTCTGGTACTTAATACCTAGAACACTCGAGGTCAGTGCTAAGTCCTGTGAAAACCAAGAAATAGTCTTGGTGTATAAGCATGAATGCAACATTTAGCAGGAGCAAATGTGAAACTTCAGTGTAAGCTATAACTGTCTTTGGTGTAATGTTTGTTGAATGATAATAAAATTACTTACCCTGGTACAGCTCTGCTCAGTTGTTAAGAGATACACCCAAAGATTGGTGAGAATACATGATCCAGCACTTCCTCCTGCCCTCATATTGCAACAGAAACCCCATGGGGAACACAAACGCAACAGAAGGCAAATATCAATTCAGAGACTATGTTAGTACCTTGCTAAAGAGAATTATTTTGTGTGTGTTTATGCAGTGAACATGGCACATGAGTATTTGTACAGGTAAGTAAAGGTCCTTTTTCCAACGAGTTGCTGAATGTGAACAGTGTGCCAAAAGATGGAGTTGGAAAATGAAGTAACTGTGGTATTACTTTTGGGTGAAGGAGTCTGTGCACAGATACAGGAGTGTGAATTGCTTTGTATTCGTCTAAAACCAAATTTTCCATTACTAGAAGGTTGCTAAACTAACTTGAAGTAAAAAGATATGTTTCCCAAGAGTATAAAAACTTTCTCCAGGGGAGATGGTCATGTAGACTTTTTACTTGCAAATGAGGAAGAACTGACAGTGGATATGGTCTGGAGGGGGAGAGTAAAGTCCACAAAGAAGTGAGCAGAATGAATAGTAGGATTAGGGCCCTGTGCTACATAATAACAGATGTTTGTCTTGTTCAAGGCTCTGCTTGGTAGGATTAAATGGAAGACTAGTTTGAACTGCAAAGGAGTTCTCAAGCGCTGGTTGATCTTCAAGAATAACCTCTCAGAGCACAAGAATGGCTCATTTTGACATGCAGAAAACTAAGCAAGTATGGCAGGATGCCTGACTTGAGCTCAGATGTGTCTGGGAGCAGCAAGAGGAAAGAAAGTAAGGGAAGGCTAGATGGGACAAGGCAGGCATGGGAGCCGTGTCATCACTGTGAAAGCAGTCCCACAGTGCCTGAAAAAGAAGAGCAGAACATGTCTGGTAACAGTAACCAGGTTCAACCAACAGTCCAGTGACACCAGACACCAGGCAAGTCAGTAATGACAAGGCAGGCCTGAGGTCAAGCCAGTGTGTCAAGTCTGTCAGTCAGGGTGTGCATCAGTTGGGCTGTGTGCCCAGGCACAGGCATGACTTCAGTCTGGCTGAAGCTGGGAACTGCTTAAAAGCTTTCATAAGCAACTCTTTCTTCATAACAATCTGGATCAACAGCTGTGTGATATCTGAGAGCTGCCTGTAAGTGCAGGCTGCTACACTCCTGAGAGGGAGCTCTGGACCCTTATACAGAGAAGGTGAAAGCAGGTATTGGCTACTGAAGAGCCATCTAAAGATGCTGCCCAAGTGTGCTGTGATGGAGTTAGGAAGGCCAAAGCTCAGCTCAAAGGGATGTGGGGTGAATCTCATGAGGGATGTGGGAAGAAACAAGAAGGGTGGGGATAACAACTGGAAGACTAAAGAAGATGTGGACCCACTGCTTAATGGGCAAGGGACTAGTGACAGAAGACAAGTAAAAGACCGAGGTACTTAGTGCCTTTTTTTTGCCTGGTAAGACTTGTCTTCCTGCTTCCCGGGCCCCTGAGCCTAATGATAAAGCCTATGGAAGTGAAGAATTGTCCACAGTAGACAGTGACAGCTGAGGAGTAGTTAACTCAGTTGTGCAATTGCATGCCAGTGGGACTAAGACTTGTGCATCCAGGGATGCTGACTGATGTCATTGTGAGACTGGTTTCTATCCTCTTTGAGAAGTCATCACCATTGGGAGGTTCCTCAGTGACTGCAAAAGGCAAACACCATGGCCATTTTCAAAAACAGAGTCTAGAAAAGTGAGCCTGTTAGGGACTGAATCCTTCTGGAAGCTCTTTCCCGGCATGTGAAGGACAAAAAGGAAATTGGAAACAGTAAGTCTTGTTTTACCAGAGGCAGGTTGTGCAAACCAGTTGCCTTCTATGCTGACATGACTGGCTTGTAGATAGGCAGGGTCTGTGGTGTGGTCTCCTGTAGCATTCTTACAGCTACCAAAGTGGGATGTCAGCTGGGTAAGTGAACGCAAGTAAAAGGCTCAAAGGATGATAATCAGCAGTGCAAAACTTGAAAGATGGCCATGTGCTAGTGATATACCTTATTAATTACCAATTAATACTAGAGTGCAGTCCTTTATCTGATGTGGTAACCAGCAACACAGGCTGGGGGTACCTAACTGGAAGCAGCTCCACAGAAGAGGACCTTGGGGTTCTGGTGGGTGCCCAGTTGAGTCAGCATTGCATCCTTGTCACACAGGCAACTGATGACATACTGTGCTGCATTAGCAGTGTAGCCAGCACTTTGGAGGAAGTGATCGTTCCTGTTGTGAGACCACACTGGAGCAGCATTTGTGAGTTCATACTGTCCTGTGACTAGCGGGCTCCTCAGTAAAAGAAAGGTAGTGACAGAGTAGAGGGAGTCCACCGAAGGGCACAGTAATGACTAATGACCGGGGAGCCAGATGACACTGTGGATGAGGAGAGACAGAGAACTGAGTTTCGGTCTTAAGATGGAAATTTCATTAGTTCAACTACCAAATGGGAAGGGAGAATATAGAGAAGACTGATCTGTGCACTTTTTGGAAGTCCTCAGTGGCAGGAGAAGGGATGCCAAAGAAGTTGTGGTAAGAATAATTCCAGTTGGACAGGGGAGGGAATGCGGCTTTGGGGGTGACCAAACACTGGGAATGGGCTGCCCAAAGAGAGTTTTGGTATCCCTGTCCTTGAAAGAGCCAAAAACAACAGCATACTAGAAAACTTTTACTGGGGCTTGGACTAATGACCTCCAGAAGTCTTTTCAACATATATCAGTCTAGAAATCTGTGTTACTGTTTTTTGGTTCGGTTTTGATTTTCTTTTGTTGGTGGTTTTTTTGTTTGTTTTCTTTTTTTTTTGGTTTTGGTTTTGGTTTTGGTTTTTTCATTTAAAAAGAAAGAAAAGTCCCCCACCCAATATGTAATAAGGATGGCTAGTAACAGGTTGACTTTCTCACATGTCCCTTTGGTAGAATTTGCTTTCAAAGGTTGTGTAGCTGTTGTCCTGTATTGCATCCCTACTGTAATAGACGATTGCATGGAAATTTCACCTTCTGCAGTTCCATTTGTTTGACACACATTTTGATTTTTTAGATCAGTACTTCTGGTACTTCTTTTGTGTAGACAGTAATGAGAGGCATATTTTCAAAAGGCTGATAAAACATTAAACTTACTCTTTACAATGGTATGTGATAGCATTGCGAACTAATTGTCCTTTCAAAATAGGTAACAGGCTCTGTGATGAAGTTGTGCTAAATAAGCATGAATATGAAGTAATTTCTTAAACTAATACTGCTTTCATTTGTAGTAAATCTATACCATTCCTTATAAATTATAACGGCCAGTCTTCGCGAGCGAAGATTTGGGAAAGGTCATTAACCCTTCCAGCCTGCGCAGTGGATTTTTAGGTGAGACACAGCGTGCGCTGAACTGAGCCCACCCTTTAGTCCTGAGGTTCATCTGCCGGGGCCGAGCAAAGCTTGGACAGTGGCAGTGAGGTCCCCAGGATGTAGGTTTGTTTAGAGTGACCTTCTCTTAGGTGGATTGCCTTCCACGGCTGACGAGCTCCACCTGCCCAGGGGGCCGGGAATTGAACCCGGGTCGCAGCGGTGAGAGTCAGACACTCTAACCTTATAAATTACGGCCTGCCCAAACTCCCACTGAAGTGGGAGGTGAGGGGGAGAATTTATTTGACCTTGTGATTTTTAACTCCTCTGATTGTTTATGCCTGATTCCTAATGCAGTGTTCTTCAAGGTAATGAAATGAAAGGTTTTAGTTCAGAATCCTAATATGGGTAAAATATAGATCATGGGATAGGGAACATGGAGCAAAAAGAACAGGGCCATATTTAGGATTTTCACAGCAAAGCAACAAAGCTGTTTTTGAAATTAACAGCAAACTGTAACTGAGCTTGCTTTCTGTTAGAGGCATGCAAATGCTGCAGTAGTATAGAAAGGGTTCTGCCTTGACTGATGTTCAACAAATAAGTACTTAAAAAAAAGCCTTGAAGGGGGTTGAAGTAATAAACTCATGGGAAAAAAGATAAATCAGTTACCCATCTGTGAAACCAACAGACAACCATTCTTTTCTGGTTGTGATTTTATTTAAATTTAAGGAGCTCTTGCATTTACATCTTGTGATTTTATGACATTGAACACTGAAAGTACATCTTTAGTGATAGGCTAGAAGATTTGAGCTATAAACCGTCTGACCTCAGTGAAGGAAAAACATAAAGGCATTGGTTGAACATTTTGATCATAAACTATTTTAAGTTACTTCTTACTTACAGATCAAAGGTTATAGGTGTAACTACAAAACAGCTGATGATGTCAGTAGCAGTAGTCTAGGATGGGTAATTGAAAGCAACAATGGAAAATGAGGGAATTTTTTTTTGTAGATATAAACTCTTTTCTAGTTTGAAAGTGATTATTTCAGTGCTGCAAAATACTACTGGAAAAAAATGTAGTGTCAGTAAGAAGTTGAGGATTTCTCTAAAAAGCTGACTTAGTCTTAACTATTTTCTAGCATTAAATAACAGGTTTTACTATAAAACTCATCACAACATTCTATTTGCCTTTAACAGTTACTTTCAGATTGTGAAAATACCATTACCAATTTGTCTGAGCTAAACTACCACTACCCTCCCCCCAGCCAGATTCTGATCTTTACTGGAATGCATTTCCAGCATTGCCTTAAATGCCTGCATCTTGAAGCATAATAGAGACATGCCCATAA